GCTGGCACTCGGAGAGCGTGTGGGCCTGCAGCTGGGAGGGCAGTTGTGAAGGCCGAGGCCTAGTGCTGGTTCCTCCTGCTGCTCAGATCCGTGGCCTGAGGGGCTGCCTGCCTTCCTCTCAGTTACCAAGATGGATATTTACCTCCCACAAGACATCTGCATTGTCACAGACATCTAGCATTCATTTAGACGCCCCATCTCCTCGCCGTGTCCTCCCCGGGGCCTGGGCTGGCTGGGCTCTCCTAGCCTTCGTCTGGAGATATCTCGACTTTGTCTCCATTTCTGAGGGATAACTCCAAGGATAAGCCCAGCTGGCCTGCATGGTCCATGGATTCCTGTGTCTGCGAGGATATTCCGGGGGTGCCTGACGGTGCTGAGGGCACCAGCGCAGGAGACGCCCTCGCTCCCCGCGCGGAGAGGACAGGGGCCTGGACGCGGGACAGGCGCTGCGGGCCCTGTGGCTGGAGCCCGAGAAGAGGCTGCGGGCGGGGGCCAGAAAGCAGGCGGGAGAGGCAGCCCAGAGGCGCCTGCTATGGTGAGGACCAGGCTGCCCAGGGAGGAAGCTTGAACTGGACTCTGCGGTGGATGCGATGGAGACGCAGCGAAGGCCGCGGAGAAGGCGGTTCTGAGAGCTGGTTTCTGAGCGAGTGCCGGCCTGCACTGGGTCCCTGTCCTCAGCCCTCGGAGGCAGGGCTGGGTGGGGGGGAAGGCGGCTCGGCTGGGGGCTGGCAGGCAGCCGCGTGACTCCGGGGCGCTCCCTGCCACTGAGTCGGCTCCCTCGAATGAGAAGTCAGAATCGCAGGCCTTACCTCACGGGGCGGTAGGAGGCCTGAGGGAAACGCCGAGGCTGCAGGTTTTTAAGAGCTCGAACATCCTGGCTCTCATTAGGGTTTCCTCTTCTATGAGAGTCAGAGAGGGTAAGTCACTTGCCTCAGGCCACACAGTCAAGAAATGGGGGGAGACTTTAAGTCTCACTGGTTGACTTGATTTCCTATCCACAGATCTGATCACCCTCCCCATTTCATAGACAGGGTCACTGAGAAGTGTTTTGTCCATGGAATCCCCAAATTTGGGAATGATGGAACTCTTCATTCATTCATTCATTCTTGAGCATCTGCTTTGTGCCAGACAGCCAGGCACAACCCAGGTGCCAGGGAGAGAGTCATGTATAAACAGATAAAATCTCTGCCCTCATGCAGCTCCATTCTCTGGGGAGACAGACACTACACATAAGTGAGCTAAATAAAGCTGTTAGATGGCAACAAAGGCTGTAGAGCAGCGGTTCTCAACCTGTGGGTCGCGACCCCTTTGGGGGTCAAACGACCCTTTCACAGGGGTCGCCTAAGACCTTCGGAAAACACATATATAATTACATATTGTTTTTGTGATTCATCACTATGCTTGAATTATGTTCAATTTGTAACAATGAAAATACATCCTGCATGTCAGATATTTACATTATGATTCATAACAGTAGCAAAATGTCAGTTATGAAGTAGCAATGAAAATAATTTTATGGTTGGGGGTCACCACAACATGAGGAACTGTATTAAAGGGTCTCGGCATTAGGAAGGTTGAGAACTACTGCTGTAGAGAGAAGTCAAATTGGGCAGCGGATGGATCATAGGGGAATCCGACATCTCAGCACAATGGAAAGGTGATTCTTTTTAAAAATATAGATTGTTATTGATTTCAGAAAGAGGAAGGAAGAGAGAGAAAGATGGAAACATCAATGATGAGAGAGAGTCATCGATCAGCTGCCTCTTGCATTCCCCCTGACCAGGAATCAAACCATGACCTCCTGGTTCATAGGTTGACGCTCAATCACTGAGCCACATCAGCCAGACTTTGCTTCTAATTCTTTTTGTTTTTTTCCCCAATATATTTTTATAGATTTCAGAGAGGAGAGGAGAGGGGGAGAGAGAAACATCAATGGGAGAACCACTGATTACTGACCCTCCTGATGCTGTGGCTTTTGGTGGCTTGGGGAGGCTGTCTGGAGAGCAGCTCTGACTCCCCATCCTGGCTCCTCACCCCAGGTCCTTCTGGGACTTGGCAGGACCCCTGAGCTACTGCTACCTGCCTCCCTCTGTTACCAAGATTAATATCTTAACCCCTACAAGACATTTGTGCTGTCACGGATGTCCTGGGGAGGATCCTCACCCACACCTGTGGGGGGAGTGGATTTCTTGTGTTAACATTAAAAAACCATTGAAACCTGTAAAGAACTTTTGAGTTTATTTGAGCCAAACTGTCGACAATTGCTGGGAAGCAGAACCTCAGTGGGTTGAGATAATGCTCCGGAGAATGACGGGTTACATCTGTATTTATACTTTGCAATCAAAGGAGGGACGTAGGTAGGTTACATGAAATCCATTGGTGATAGACTAGAGAGGCGGGAGGAAGCAAAGCAGGGAAACCTCTGGGATTGGATACAAAGTAAAATGATAGACACACACTTAGGTCGGTGCAGGATCAATTAACATAACAATGAAGGAATTTGTGCTCTCTGTCCTGGAACCCAGGCACATTGGGTTGTGGCCCAAGGGGTCCAGAAAAAGAAGTTACACGTTACCCAGACATTTCAAGGGTATGTAATCATAGATGCAAAAAGACAGATAGGCTCAGTTAAGGTAAAGGCTGACCTTGTCAGGGAAGATACCGGCCTAGGACATAACGGCCCACCACCACTGCTTTTAGTTAAAGTTTCATTTCAGACCATCCTTTGTGGTGACTTTAGGTCTGAGTTTGCAAGACCACCATATAGGCCTCCCCTGAGCTGTCAGGTCAGCACGTGGCCTCTTTCGTCCACAGTTGCAACATCCCGATAAGAGGAATTTTCTGAGACTCACACGCGAGGACGCGGCACTGTGGGAAGCGTTATTTCTGTGGCATGAAACCCGTTTCCGAGGTCTCATCTCCCTCACCCCGCGAGGAAGCAGTGTAGCCGGGGCTCAGCGGAGCTGGAGGCAGAGCCAGGGCCCAGAGGTTCCGTTCCACGTGGAGCCGAGTCCAGTCCAGCCTCGGGCTGGCTTGGCCTATGTGTTCCCAGTAGTCCGTTAGTCCTCTGTGTGTGGGTCCACAGGACCGTGCGCCACACAGGCAAGTGCAAGAGAACCGAGAGCCAAGAGCACTCAGCAACAAGAGCAGCTGGCTGCAGCGGTCGGCACACTCACCGTCAGCACAGCCAAATGTCAACAGGACAACGATTGGAATTTCTTCTGAGAGCCAAATTTTTTAAACTTAAACTATATAGGCAGGTACATTGTTATTAACTTAATTAGAGTACTCCTAAGGCTTAGGAAGAGCCACACTCAAGGACCAAAGAGCCGCATGTGGCTCGTGAGCGGCAGTTTGCCGACCACTGAGCTAGAGCAACAAGAGAGGGAACTCTTGTTCAGGGGGTTAGGCATTCCCAAATCTTGTGGGCTTGCTGTGGCTACGCCGGTTCTGGCCAAAGACCTCTGTTCCCAGGTGTGACTGACAGGCACCTTCTCTAGTCACCCCAACTTCACTGCCCATGTGTCCATCTCCCCTTTGGTCCCCTGAGGGGTGTGAAGTTGCAGCTTCCTGGGGAAGCTGCCCAGATTGAAAAGGAAAATGGGGGCGGGGGCAGGGGAGGGGGGGCCTTGCAACCTAGTTCAGTGTCTGGTTAAAACTGTGGCCTTCCTTCCCCACTCTGACTGACTTGGGTGGAGCTGCAGAGCCTAACCCCAGGGCCCCCCCACAGCTGACTAGGGCGGAGCTGTGGGGACCCTCAGGGGCCATCATGGGAGGAGACATATAGGTCAGAACCTCCCCACGAGTTCGGTTCAGGCTTTGGATCCGGAATCCCCTGGACTAGCAGATCTGCGAAATGAAGGTTAAACTTCCCTCCCTCAGAGCTGGCTGGCCGTTCTCCAGTGCATTCTGCCACAACAAGATGACATGCTCATGTCTCGGTCCCCCCTTCGCTCCTTTCCTATTATTAATAACTAGCTAATTACAACAGTCACTGTCACCCAGCTCTCCTGGGCCCCATGCTGGGCTGATCCTACAGCCCAGTGTGCCCAGGAGTGTCATGCATGCAAACGCAGTTACACAGAAAGGAAGGCAGACATGGAGAACTGTGTACTGAGCACTTTCGTGCACATCATTACCTCTACTCCTCACCATGGCTGTGCTCAAGATATTATTACACCTATTTTATGAACAGAAAATAGATTCAGAGTCGGGAAAGGTTTAAGTTCTATTCAAAGCCACCCAATAAGCTAATGTTTAGTAATAAAAGCCCATTTTAGTGATTGCTGGGAGCCATGCAGCCAGATCCAGTGCCAAGAAGGGGAGGAGGAAAGCAATGAAGAAATGGCTGTTAGCTTTGATCCCCTCATAGCAAGGGTCAAAGTCCTGGCCAGAGAGGCCATCTGCAGATGTCTGCCTCAGAGCGACTGTGAGTTGAGATCAATTGCCTTCCATATCTGAAGATTTATCAAGGGGCAAAGAGAGATAACTTTAAAGGTGTCAATGTAAAAAAAAAAAATTCAAACCTGTAAATAATTTTTGTGTTTATTTGAGCCAAACTGTCGACAGTTGCAGGGAAGCAGAACCTCAACGTATTGAGATGGTGCTCCAGAGAAGGGCGGTTCTTCACCCTGTTTAATACATGACCATCCGAGGAGGAGACGAAGGTGGGTCACATGAAATCCACTGGTGACAGATTAGGGAGGCGGGAGAAAGCAAAGCGGAGGGGGGGGGGGCGGTGAGGAGGAGGGGAACCTCTAGGTTGGATAAAAAGTAAAACGACAGACACATGCTTTTAACAGTGAAGGAACCTGTGGTCTCTGTCCTGGCGCCCAGGGCATTTGGTTGTGCCCTGAGGGGTCTGGAAAAAGGGAAGTTACAAGTTACTCAGACATTTCAAGGATATGTTATCAGAGATGCAGACGGACAGTAGGCTCAGTTAAGCTAAAGGCTGACCTTGTCAGGGAAGATGCCCGCCTAGAACATGACGACCCACCATAGCTGCTTTTAGGTGAAGTTTTAATTTCAGACATCCTTTGTGGTGACTTTAGGTCTTTATGTTTGCAAGACCGCCACGCAGGCCTCCCCGGGCTGGTCAGGTCAGCACGTGGCCCTTATGTCCACAGGGTAGGAGCTTCTGTTTGTTGAAGCTTCAGGGGCTGTGCCATGAATAGACGGTGGAGCAGGCCGCCTTAGAGGGGTGAGCCTTCCACCGCCTGAGGTGTGCGAGCACAGGGACTTCCCTATTTGCCAGGGGTGCCCCCGACGGAACAGTCCAGTGACAGGCTGGCCTGGATGGTTTCCCCACAAGCTCTCAGGCCAGGGGAGGTCCAGGCCGGCAAAGGCTTCTCCCGGAACTCTCTTCAGCAGGAGGCTTTTGATCCCAACAAGCCGTCACACTTGGAGCTGCAGGCTGGCTTCCACATGTCTGGGTGTTTCCTTTTCAGACAGAGCGCAGGGCACAGGCTGAGGTGGAGTGGGTTCCTCCGGTTGCATCAGCTCTGGTGTGACCTCTGATGTTTACCTTCTTTGTTCTCAGATCAACGAAACACACAAAAACTCATTTCCTGGCTTAAAAAACAACAGGGGTGGCCAGGTAGGTCAGGGGAAAACGGGCTTCTGCGAAGTAGCCGTGCAGGGGGAGGGCAACGCTCCCTAAGAGCCCTCCCCTTGGGGGGCTCCTCAGAATGGCTCTGGTTGCCGCAGGGTGCTCAGCAGGCCGCCAGCCCCCCGCACCTGTTGGCAAGTCCCGGAGCTGTGAGCGCAGCTCTCAAGCTGCACAGCCTGGTGGTGAAGGTGGGCCTGTCTGCAGGGCAGTCGCACGGGGGCGTGGCCTGCTCGGGGCGGGTGGGTGCGGGGGGAGGGGGGGGAGAGCAGCCTCCATCAGGAAGCAGCTGTCTGGTCCCGACCCCCCAGGGACTGGTGACTGGGCAAACTGTGGGGGTCTCTCGTCTTTCCGCACGTACATGGGTATCGCCCGGTGCACAGGCGCCTCTCCTGGGACCCGCCATCCAGAATCACTTCCTCGGCTCTTCCCTCCGCCCGCAGCGTCTGGACTCCGGAAGTGCCCCTTCCCCCTGGCCGGTCCGCCTCCACCGCGCCTCGCTGCGGCATCTGTCCCCGGTACCCTTAGCCCGCTTTTCCATTAGGACTTGTCCAAGTTACGATCCTTGCTCATGTTTTGTCTCCTATTTCCGTGAGGAGCCAGCGTGGGCGTGAACTTTGTGTTGTTGGCCAGTGGGTGAGAGAATGCGTGGAGGAACGGAGTGGAGGAGTCTCTGGCGGGGACGAAGGGCAGGGAGGCCGCGGGGGCGGAGGCCCGTGGGCCGAGCAGTAGCCTGGGCCGCCGGCTTCGGGGCTGCGCCGCCTGCACCGCCTCTGGGCAAACGCAGATCTCAGAAGGGGGCGGGGGCCGGGCCTGGGCCAGGGCCAAGGCCGCGGGGGCGGCGCGGGAAGCTACTTATACCTGCGACCCGCCGCCGCTGGCCTCTGGCCTCGCCGCCGCCAGCCCAGGACGGGAGCCCAGGTAGGCGGGCGGGCCGGGAGCGGGAGCCGGGGGCCGAGGGGGCGAGGCGGGAAGCCGAACCCCCGCGGACACGGCCGCGATTCCGCCTCGGAAGCGGCGGTCCCTGCAGCGTACAATCCTGGGACTTGTAGTTCTCGTTCCCCGAGAGGCCGGCTCGCGAGCTCCAGGAAAGTGGCGCGTCGCGGGGACGAGAAACTACATTTCCCAGGGACCCCGGAGAGGTTGGGGTCACCGGGAAAGCGCCCCGGCAGGCGGCGCTTCCCGGGCGCAATGGGGCCGCTCCTGGGGCAGGTGGTGGCGAGGCCCCGAGCGGTTCCTCTAGAGGCGCTCCCCCCAGAGGCGTCCCCCGGGGAGAGGATCGGGGGCCGGGAGCAGAGCCCATGAGCAGCTCGGTGGCGGGGCCCGACTGCTGCGGAGGCCTGGGCAACATCGACTTCGGGCAGGTACTGTCCGGGAGGCCAGCGGAAACCGGAGAGGGACCCGGCCGGCCGAGCCCGCGACCCTCGGGCACCGCCTCCGACGCTTGGTGGGCGGGCCCACCGTCACCAGGCAACGGGGGCGTGGCGTGGCGGGCGAGGGCGGGTGTGCGCGTGGGAGGAGGGGCTCCTGGGTCGCGCGTGTGCCCGAGCGCCCCGGCCGCGTGGCCGGGTCTGTGGTCCGGGTGAGGGGGGAGCCTCCGAGGTTGAGTCAGAGTGAGCGTGAGCGTGAAGGAGGCCTGTGCGGGGCGGGGGCGGGGGCGGGGCCGCCCATGCGGCACCGGGCGGCGCGGGGCTGCGGGCCGCGGCCCTCCCTTGGCGGGCGGCCGCGCTGGCCCCTGGGGTGGCGGCCGGTGTCCGACTCTCGCTGGGCGGCGTCCTTTGCAGCCGCGGGCGAGAGCGCGCCTTCCAGGGCGTCTCCCTAGGCTCCCGGTTCCGTGGCTTTTCCTCTGTCCTGCGTCCTCCCTCCTTTCACGGCTGCCGCTGAGATTTCCCTACCCTTCCCTCTCCGTCCACCGCTCTCCACGCGCCACCAGGCCCTCTGCCTGCAGCGCCTTCGCTCGCTCACTCCCTTCGCCGCCGCGCAGACCGCGGGCCTTCACTGGGAGCCTGGTGTTGGGGGGCAGTCAGACGCCTGCTCTCGCCGCCTTCGTCCTAGTGAGGGAGACAGTAAACCTGGAAACAGACAATTTCCTGAAGGAGAAAACGGGTCCGTGCCTCAGCGGAGGAGGGTTGGGCCCCCGGCGCTGCGGTCCTGCCTGCGGGAGGTGCTGTTGGTGGAGGGCCGGCGAGGCGGGGCTGGGGAGCAGCAGAGAGGACGGTGCCCGTTGTTTTGTTAGTAAACTCTTCCCTAAGAATGACATGCCGCTCACGGAGTCCCAGTTCGATCCCAGTGCCGGGCCTGCAGGAGGTGCCAGTCAGTGAGCCTCATCACTGATGTTTCTATCTGTCTCCCTCCCCCTTCCTCTCAGAAATCAGTACAATATATTTTTTAAGAAAGGAATAGCCCTGGCCGGTTTGGCTCAGTGGATAGAGCGTCGGCCCGCGGACTGAAGGGTCCCGGTTCGGTTCCGGTCAAGGGCATGTACCTTGGTTGCGGGCACATCCCCGGTGGGGGGCGTGCAGGAGGCAGCTGATCAGTGTTTCTCTCGCATCGACGTTTCTAACTATCCCTCTCCCTTCCTCTCTGTAAAAAATCAATAAAATATATTTAAAAAAGAAAGAAAGAGAGGAATAGCATACAGTTGGGTGGATGATAGACCCTGTGGGTACAGCTCAGGCAGTCACGGCGTGAACACCCGTGGAAGGAGCACCCCGTCAAGGCATCGCCAACCAGGGAGCCGCCCGCGGAGGATGCGCCGGCAGATGGAATTCTTAGAATCTTACTTTGTAAATGGCCTTTGAGCAGCGTCTTCGGACACAGTGGTCAGTGGTCAGTGGTGGGCCTGGGATCCATGCTTCCTGCCACAGCACATCTCAGATGGAAGGGCCCTCGGAACGCCGGGAGGGACCTCAGCATTGCCTGGCCCCGGATGGTGGCCCACCACCAACTGCAGGCGGGAGCTTCGAGCCATAGGGCAGAATGGGGGGGGTGGGGGGGGGGGAGGTTGGGGGGGGGCAGGGAGGCCGCGGGAGGGCCAGGGACCTCTCCTCGGGTGTCCGAGTGAAGCCTCTGTTCTAGACTTAGAAGCAGGAGGTGGCCCTGGCCAGTGAGCTCAGTGGGTAGAGCATCAGCCTGCACGTCCAAGGGTCATGAGTTCAATTCCCAGTCAAGGGTTGTACCTGGGTTGCAGGTTGGATCCCCGGCCTGGTTGGGGGCCTGGTTGGGGTGCATGTGGGAGGCAACTAATTGTCTTTCCTCCACTCCTGCCTCCCTCCCACCTGTCTCTCCCACTCTCTCTAAAAATCAATGGAAAAATATCCTTCAGTGAGGATTAACAAAATACATACACACACACATACGTTAAAAAAGAGCAGGAAGTGAGGGTCAGCCCTGGGCAGGCCTTTTCCCCAGAGCGGGTGGGGCTGTGCAGCTGGCCGGAACTGGGACCAGCCGCAGTGACCTTCTTTGACTAATGTTCAATTTTTTTCACTCCTGCCCTTATTGGTACAGTTAAGCTTCCTGTTGCCAAGGGATTTTCCTTCAAAAAAATAAACCAACAACATGTAACATGTATTTTATGTGGTAGCTCTCCTCCCTCCTCAATCAAAATCTCTGGTTTTAAAAGCTGCCGGTCCCTGGCCCGAGGGAGCTTTCAAGGCTCCTCCTCGCCCAGGGCCGCTGGCTGCAGGGTCGGAGCGCTGGAGGGGGCTGTCTAGAAGGAATACGTGCCATATTTCTAATTTAAACTTCTCTAGTAGCCGCATTTTAACAAGTAAAAAGAAATTGATGAGATTCCTTTTAAAAAAATACATGAATATCACAGCAGCTTTATTCATAATAGCCCCAAACTGGAAACAACCAAAATGTCCTTCCATGGATTATTAAACAAAAATATGGTACATCCCCCTGGCCAGTGTGGCTCAGTAGTTGAGCATCGACCTTTGAACGAGGAGGTCACAGTTCGATTCCCAGTCAGGGCATGTGCCTGGGTTGTGGGCTCAGTCCCCCGTGGGCGTGTGCAGGAGGCAGCCAATCAATGATTCTCATCATTGATGTTTCTATTTTTCCCCCTCCCTCTCAAGTCAATAAAAAAAAATAATTTTAAAAGTATGGTACATTCCATACTATGAAATACTGTGCAGCAATAAGAAGGAACAAACTGCCCTGGCCGACTTGGCTCAGTGGATAGAGAGCCGGCCTGCGGACTGAAGGGTCCTGGGTTCGATTCCGGTCAAGGGCACATGCCTGGGTTGCAGGCTCGATCCCCAGTGGTGGATGTGCAGGAGGCAGCCAATCATTTATTCTCTCTCATCACTGATGTTTCTATCTCTCTCTCCCTCTCCCTTCCTTTCTGAAATCAATAAAGAAATATATTTTTTTAAAAAAGAAGGAACAAACTATCAATACATCTTGCATGAATCTCAACATAATTACAGATTAAAAAACATTTTTTTAAAATTGATTTCAGAGAGAAAGGGAGAGAGAAACATCAATGATGAGAGAGAATCATTGCCTGGCTGCCTCCTACACGCCTCCTACTGGGGATTGAGCCCGCAACCTGAGCATGTGCCCTTGACTGGAATTGAATCCGGGACCCTTCAGTCCACAAACTGATGCCCTATCCACTGAGTAAACTGGCCAGGGCATAATTACAGATTTAAAGAAGACAGAATACAAACTTTCAACAAATGGTGCTGGGGAAACAGAATACATGCAAAATAATGAAGTTGAACCTTCACCTTACAGCATAAAAACATTAACTCAAAATACCCGGCCTGTGTGACTCAGTGGTTGAGCCTCAACCCATGAACAGAAGGTCATGGTTCGATTCCGGTCAGGTAACATGCCAGGGTTACAGGCTCGGTCCCCAGTATGGGGCATGCAGGAGGCAGCTGATCAATGATTCTCATCATTGATGTTTCTATCTCTCCCTTTTCCTTCCTCTCTGAAATCAATAAAAACATTAAAAAATGAATAGAAGACCTAAACATAACAACTAAAAATATAAAACTCTTAAAACAGGGAGAATGCTTCATGACACTGGATTTGGCAATGATTTCTTGGATGTTGAACAAAAATAAAATTAGATAAATCAGACTATATCAAAATCAAAAACATCTCTGCATTAAGGGACACAACAGAGTGAGAAGGCAACCTACAGAATGGAAGAACATGTTTGTATGTCACATCTCATGGAAGGTTAATATTCAGGGACATATAAAGAACTCCTAGTCCTGGCTGGTTGGTTGAAGCGTCACCCCATTCACTGAAAGGTCATGTTCAATTCCTGATCAGGGCACATACCCAGGTTGCCAGTTAGATCCCCAGTATAGGCAGGTATCAGAGACAACCGATCAATGTTTCTCTCTTACATCAATGTTTCTTTCAACAACAAAATACCAAATTCAAAAATGGGCAAAGGACTTGAATAGACACCTCTTGAAAGACATAAAAATGGCCACCAAAGACATGAAAAGATGCTCAGCCTCACTAATCATTAGGGAAACAAATCAAACCCCGTGAACCTGGCCAGCGTGGTTGAACATCAACCTATAAACCAAGAGGTCTCGGTTTGATCTCTGGTCAGGGTACATGCCCAGTTTGTGGGCTTGATCCCCAGTGTGGGGCATGCAGAAGGCAGCCGATCAATGATTCTCTCGATGAGATTACATTTTATTTGACCTGGGATGTAAAAAATATGACTATCATGTAGCACTGTAAGTGCTCAGTAACCACATGTGGCCAGAGGCTGTTGGGGACAGTGCCCGAACCAGCTCTCTTCTGGGCTTGTTCCAGTGGGTGCACAGTCTTGGCACCTGCAGGGTTGAGGCGTGTACCTGCTGTAGCCTCATGGACCAAGGCTCCCTTTCCCTCCCCACCCTGGGATTGCAGAGCCTTGCTTCTCCGCTTGGCAGCAGCGTGCAGCAAGCTGACTGGTGGGCAGAGGGGAGCAGGGACTGCCAACCTGCTATCCTTAGGCAAGAGCACCCCCAGGATCAGAAGATGTCTCCAGTGGGGCCTAGGGGTGCTGGCTTCTTGCAGGGCCCCGGCGGGCCGGGCATAGTCGCGGTGGACCCTTTATGCCCATGTGTCAGGTCGCTTTTCCCTGTGAGCTCCCCTGCTCCCGAGAGCAGATGGTGGTGCCGCTCGGTGTAGGTGTCCCGAGGTGCACTTCAGTTTCTTGATCTGTAAAATGGGGATAGTAATGGGACTCTGGCGAGGACCACAGTGGGATCAGGATGCAGAGGAGCTTTATACGGCGCCCCCGAGGCAGTCTTCAGAGGCAGAGCCCTGGGTTCGGGCGCGGAGGCTGCGTGTGACTGGGGGCTGAGGAGGGCACCGGAGGCGGGCTCGGAACATGTTG